CATTAATTGTCTAGTACAGTTTTTATTTTTCCACAAATTCACAGCACTTAAATAAGGAATATGGAAATATACTCCTTCAAGAGATAACTAAAATGCATCCCGATGAATCTATTAAAATACAAAATAAGATTATTTTATCAGAAACAGCTGATACATCAGTACATCAAACCTGGCAGACATTTACTTCGGTAGAAGACAGAGAAACGAATGAATTCAATGAAAACCCTTATATAATAAAGGCCAAGAAGATTGCTGAAATCCAAGCTGATAAAATTACCCAAAATGAAACCTATAAAATTACTGAGACCCATAAAGACATACGAAAAAGTTCAGATGGTGAGAAATCACCATACGTTTGACATATTTAATCTACAGGTATCTGTCAAGCTACTCCATTCATATATCCTTGTGATTCGGATGAAATAGAAAATGGGCTACAAAAAGAATATCGTTGGTACTTTGATCATGCTGAAATGAGTTGTCATAAAACTTCTGACTGCATTAGAAATGAGAACTCTTTTACAAGTCAGAAGGAGTGCGAGGATACTTGCTTGCCGTTGCAAGGCAAATTTTAGTTTACTGCCATCTTCATAAACTAGAAAGCAAAGATTTTTCTAAATTTTTAATTTTTTAGGTCCTATTAGATGCCTCACCCCCCCCAGGGCTAGTCATACTTTATGCATCGGCTCACAAATGAAGGCCTTAAGTCAACCTGTGTCAAGTGTTAAAGTTTTCTTCGACAAAACAAGTGGAAAATGCCGTTGGTTTTCCTATTACGGCTGTGGTGGTTCGGAAAATAGATTTTTTTCGTTAGAAGAATGCCAAAACGTTTGTGATAATGGAGCAGTGGAGCAAATATTTGCAGGTGAATTTAATGTTAAATGGTTATGTTTTATATAATTATGTTATAAATATTTATTATATTATAATATTATTATTACATCGTCTTCAAAGATCAGCATAGCATATCATAGCATAGTATAGCATAGCATAGCATAGCATAGCATAGCATAGCATAGCATAGCATAGCATAGCATAGCATAGCATAG